GCTCAGTGACCACACCAAAACAGCAACAGCTCCACTTTGAACACAGCTCGTTTATTGACTGGCTGAATGATTCATAGCAGCCGACCGGAGATGTCGGCAGGAGATCTGACAGGACCACACCCAGATAAAGGGAAGTACCGACCAATTACACCTGCTGGTTAAAAATAGACAAGACAAGACTCAAATACTTGATTTATAAAATACTTGGTTCCTCTTTGACCAGATGTTGCACGTTGGACCAGTACTGTGGCTCTAGAGCGCCCCAGATTGTACGACTGTCGGGAGGTTCCATGTTCTTCTGTCACACACACGTCACACAGGTTACCTTTTAGTTCTACCTGTTGTTCTCAGGGATGGTAGATTTAGACGGTACAGACAGGTTTATAAGTAAACAATGTGACATCTTTGAATCAAACAGAGGCAGGTTAAAGGCTCAATGCAGAATAATTAATAATATACTACTGTTGTTAACAGTAGTATTTTATTATTAATGAAAGTTGAATTAACGTTTCCATGTTTTTAAACCAGTTCCTGACAAAGGCCTGATTTTTTTACTTTAACTGGACGTTAAATGTTTGCTGTGAGCAGAGAAAATATCCCTCAAGGTCATTAAAAACAAAAGAGTTGCAGGAATGCTGAGTTACAGACAGATTCATGTGAGAAAAATGAGTTTCACTGCAAAGCGTGTGAAACTACAGTATGAGAAAATATCAGGGCAGCTTTTTTTCTTTGACGTTCCTTCAGTGAAGCTTCTTCACACGACGTCATTTCTGAGCCGTGCGTCTTGTTTGGAGGACAGTCAAACACTTGGACTCTGCTCACTGAACCTTCTCCAGGATTTAGATGGATGTCGTCTGCACAGTGTCGTGTTCTCGCCAGAGGCTGAACACTAGGTCGATGTAATGTTTGACTAAGAAATGACATCACTCTGGGAAAAGTTTTTTCTCATTCATTCATCTTAGCATTCTTTTTTGGGTGATTAGTTGCTGTATATTTTCATTGTAGTTTTCATCCCATGGTCATTTATTTTCAACCTTTTTCCAGGGAGAACTATATTAATTAATCAGCTGAAAAATCTGTATAGAAATGAAAGAGATGAATTCATGAAAAGAGATCAAAAGGGACTTAAGGATGCTATTCAGAGCTAGAATAAGAAAAGCCAATAAGAATACTGAACTAAAACAGGTTGGACTAAGAACTGACGAGTCAAAGCCTAGGTGGAGAGAAATACCTACGTACATGCCCTGAAAACATCTTTTCAAGCACAAGCAAGCAGAACATGGGGTTTTTAACATACCTTGACTGGAACCAAAGAGAGGAACAGATAAGAGATGGAGTTAGTGAAGCAGTCCCTGAAGCTGGACCTCTTCCTACTTCTATACTTCAGGGTTTACTGTTTCTATTTGTGGCTTGTTGAAGCATCAGACTGAATGAGTTGACAGAATTTAGCTCTTCACTCACAACAAACCCCAACCAGGATCTCCATTAACTGTTCAACTGCTTACAAGGGAAAGTATTCAATCAGCCAATCACAAGGCAGATGCTCAGTGATCTGTGAATACTAGTCCCAGCAGAGCTGGTAGAGCTGTTCAAATGAACACTGTACTCATTAGCACTTGTCCTGCCCACTGTCCTCTGGTGCTGACTCCTGATCTGAGGCCCAAGGACACTGGGTTCAGTTTTGGTTCCAAAGACTGGGCTCATTTGTCCACGTAGCTCAGTAAACCTGTCAGAGGCAGAGGCAGTTTTCAGCCACACCAGCTTTATATACATCTGGCACCGTTTCCATTTCCTTTATGGAGCCATTAAGGAGACATTAGGAAGATAAGAGTGCAAGAAAGAAGAAGTTAGTTGTGCTAAAAGAATGATGAATCATATATATATACGTATATATATTGTGTAAGTCTAGAAGTACAACGGTGTTTTACCTTTATTATAATATATAGGGTGTAAACTATGGTCAGAGTAGAGGGTTTGTAGGATGTAATTAGAAGAGAACTATGATGGATAATGATCTTTGGGAACAACATGACCAGCACTGGTGGTCATCACCATTAGTCATGTATTAATTGTCCTTAAACACACTCACCAAAATTGGTATCTGCCACAGAGGCGTGGCTTTTCAGACTGCACAAATCAACAAAGACAGAAAATAATGAGTTCTTCAAAACTTTAAACATGACTAATCGTCGTACAGGGTCTGGGCGGTAGGTGTGGGCATTTAATCAGTGAAAAAGGTGGAAACTACTGCAGAGTGGACACAGAAGACACACCTGACAGTTGTTGGAGAGAAGACGAGGAGAAGCAGAGGAGAGATATTGGTCCAGATCAGGTGACGTAGATGAGACCAAGAGGTCAGGGATTAGGAGCTAGCAGCGTAAAAAGGACCTACACGTGTGGAAACCAGGATATGGCCCACACTAGGGGTAGGTTGCTGATTAGCAACAGGCAGCAGGTTGGCAGGGGAACAGGATGAGGAAGTGGATTACCAGCTGGAGGCTGGACAACTTCAAACCGTCCACATGGCCTACGTGTAGCAAACAGGGCGAGGGCTGGAACAAGGTCACCAACATCACCCTCTAGAGGTCCAAGGTCAACGTAAACCTGGAGCAGGACCTAAAATACTGGATATCAAAATACTAATTATGGGCAACTATATAAAATAGTTGATTATTTGATAGGGTTTTGCAGTGCTGTGAACATAGGTTCTGTCTCTGGAGGAATATGACTCATGTGATTAGAATAAGAGCTGCTCATAGTCTGTCTCTGACCTCTGTATTCATTAGCTAGAAATTCAATGTCAGTGCCGCAGGATATATTTCCTGCTCAGAATGTTCTCGGGTCGGTGAACATTATTTCAAAATGTCTTTTCCAACTGCTGACCATCACAGTATCTCTCTCCTTTTCTTGTTTCCTCTAAGGTCTGACAGCCAGTACTTTCCTTTCCTGTTTTTTACCCCGTCTTTGTTTAGTACACACACTGACACTGAATTTCACACACACATGAACATTAACACCACTGACATCACTGACATCCATTCCACATCCTGTATTAAACTTTTCATCCCTGCTCTGCAGATATTTACAAAATAGATATATAATAAAATAAGGAAACATGAAAGGGTGAGTGAGATGAATTGAAATGCCACTGCAGTCCAACAGGCAGGAGATTGCATTTTTCCATTAAATATAAAATAACATAGTGTTGGGTTTGTAGGTTCCTTTGAATTTAGAAATCAAAAAACACTTCATTCACCAATGTTGCCAGGACAGAAAGTCTCTTCAAAAGTCTACCAGTGAAATAAAGAATACATCTAACAGGCTGTTTTGTCTAAGTGGGGAGACTATGGGTGGAGAGAAACAAAGATCAACAACAGTTTTGGTTTTTTTTTCAGATTCTTAGAGTGGAGATGCTGAGATTATCATTGGGATTAGACCAAATCAAATAAAAACCCAGTGGTTCCCAAACTTTTTTTCTGTGACGCTACACTTTTGTAGACAGGACTGTGAGCACTGAGCGCCGCACGTCGACACATTCAAAACTACTGGTCTAAAACGTCACTGAACTTGAACAACTAGAAATTCCGACCTGCTGTTCGGTAAGGATCATTCTGACAAATAAACTTAGCTCAGCTCAACGTTACACTGACATGTTTCCTCTAATCAGCTCCTGGTGCATGTGGACCAAAAACAAAAACAAACTTCCAGTGTCTGGATTCATCCTTCTACTCTAATCCAGGGCTTTGTCTGGAGGATGGGGGTTCAGAGTTGGTTTGGCAGCAAACAAAGACCGGTTTCGACCTACTTCTTTGGTCCGGCTATCAAAAGCCTCTCTGTTAACATGTGCTGCACAATGGATGTGAACACACAAATAAATACACACACATATGCTGCTTATTATTATCTGAATGCCACCATTAGTGCTGTCACTGCAAGACTGTAGCTGGAGGCCGAGCTAGGTGAGAGGACAAAGGCCTGTGCTGCTGCAGGGACTGAGCCTAATGAGGGGGGAGGACAAGGACCAGCTTTGGGAATAAACCTGAGGCTTATTGAATACATCACTCTGTATTTGTCTGCCTGTTGCAGTAACAAAGGGCTGCTTTTATACTGGGTGTATATTTAAAACACTCGTCATCATTGGAACAACCAGTGAATCTGTGATCAGGTCTCACATCCAATGTTAGGGCTCGTCCCGATGAGTGAGTGAGTTCTGGAATCCATCGGCTTCAATAAATGAAAACACACATCTGTAGCAATGGCGTAATAGAGACATAACAGAGTCATTGAGAATGATGGTGCAACAAAAGAGCAAACAAACTGTCAACACTAAATGCACATCGATGACCTTTTCCTTCTTTTTCGTTTCTCCTGCTGCTCTTCCAAACACAGCATCTTCTTTCGTTGTCCCATATGTGTCATTTAGTGCAGCCCTGTGGCCTTGTCCCATTTTCTTTCAACCTCACTAAGTCATCCGTGAGGTTGAACACGGCTCAGATACCAGAGATTCAGTCCATCTTGTATGTTTGCCCAGCCTATAAAGGAGCACGCATCTACGGCTCCTTTAAACCTACAAACAGACCATCAACCTTACATTCAATTACCCTGTGGTCAGTCTGTGGCATTTGGTGCCTTTTTTTACCCTGTTTTTGTTATCTTTTATATGTTTACTGTATCTATGCAGCAACAATAATCTGTTTTTGGGTCTTGAAAATCAGTGATCCCAGACAAGGGCGCTGCCAGGAATTCTGGGCCCCATAGAAGGATATGACAATATATTTTCATATGTATGTATTTGTTCATATAATATTCAAAATATTTATGGGGGCCACTATCAGTCAGGGGGTGTTGGAATCATCTTAACTTCCCCAGCCCATACAGCGCCACCGATCCCTGGTGCAGATTAAAGGAGGGCATTTCCTGACCACATTTGACCAGAAGATGGCAGCATTGTATTATTTTTCCATTCTATCTCAGACGATTAAAAACAAGGCAGAGCCCACACACACACACACACACACACACACACACACACACCTACAGACACGTACACACATAAAGGCATCATCATCCCAGCGACTGGCATCCGAGCAATGTCCGAGCAGCTCGTGGTAGAAGAATATGGACACAGAGCCTCGGAGCTAAGACCAGAGATGTAGGAGTCAGGATGCCCCGGCACCGTGTGTGGCGTTTGCTCCTCTTCCTGCTGTCGGTGGTCGCTGTTCAGGATCTGGCTTTGGCCAAATCTCTGCCGGATCAGGGAGCGTTTGGTAAGCTCGACACACAAGAGGATGCAGCACAATGAGGAGATGGGAGTGGTTGCTGTTTTACTGCTTTTGTCGACACGCGCTTCTGTCGCTGCTCGCTGTCTTTCTGTCTGTCTCCGGACGCTGTAAGACCACGGTCCGCCTAGGGACGTATATTCGTGGGAAGAGGGTTTGAT